AGTCGGCAACAGCGGAATTACAGCCCCGAGGGAGGAAACATCTGCCACCGGTGGTGCTGAAAGGGAGAGGAAACAATGACCTATCTGACCAGTTCTTGGTTAAGTGGTAGACACAGGCTAGGAACCCCAAGTCCCGTAAGTACCACACTGTGCACCTGAACTAGATAGGGGCTGCATATTTTTCCTGACCACTCCTCAGCTGCATCCTGGGGAGCATCACACTGCCTTGCACAGGGCATAACCTGAGTGATGGCACGCACAAGTGCTGTTCTCTGCGACCCCTTCAGCTGAACTCTGGCGGCCTGATGCTTTCACTTCAGTGCTCAGGGACCTGACGCAAACAGAAAACACCTGCCAGGTGCTAAAACTGCAGCAAACTGAAACCCACGTTGTTTTCACACTTCCAGACACATTAGAGGGCAACTACTGCGGACTGCCTGGTGTTCCTCGGTGGATTTAGATTGACTCAGCTCATGTGCCAATGGTTGCAAGTAACACTTCTAACTACAGTTTAATCACACCTTTTACTTTTTTCTTTTTTGGAAAAAAAGTATTTCTTGGCCCTGCTTTGCAAGGGCATTCCCTCATGCCAGAACACAGCTTTGCTGAGTACTGAGAGAGGTGTTGGTGTTGGGCCAGGAGCGATGGCATGCACACAACACCCTGCCTGCTGGCTGCAAGGAGGCTGCTGAGATTTCCTCCAGCAGGGATTCATGCTCTTAATGCCAGGCTCAGTGTTGGTTGATGGAGCTCCCACAGGTCTTGTTGGAACAAGAGGTCTGGGGAGTTTTAGGGTTCTGTGGGGGTTTTTTTGTTAATGTTAATTTCAAGGCCCCTCAGCTGGTTCCAGTGACCTTTTTCAGCCTTTCATCACACATTTTTTTAGTATCAGGCACTCTGGGGCAGGGATAGGAGAAAGGAAAAAGCAGCAAGATTGGGAGAAGAGTTTTCTTAGTGCAGATATTCTGTGGTTAAATCAAAATGAACAGACACCCCCAACTGTTTTTGTTTCTTTTTAAAGATTGGAATAATTGCAGAGAGTATTAATTTTGCTCATAAAGGGCTTCAGTTCCCTCCCACACATGCAATGTCTCTAACAAAAAAAGGGGTTGTGGTGTCTCCCTGCAGGTCCTCTATAGGCTGGCAATAACATTGGTATTGTGAAGAATAGAGTTGATAAAGACCTTCATAGCTTGCCTGCATTAAAACTCACTCCACGGGAACTAATTTTATGTAGTTACCTTAGGGGAAAATAGCACCAACATGGGTAAACAGCACTGGAATAAATCTAAGCTGTTTGCAGGACCAAATGAAAGTACAAAGTAAAACAGGTAAGTGAAGCTCAGTGTAGAAGAGAGGTGGTATAAAGCACTGAATTCTGAAAACCCACCCCACAAGGAATTTCAAGGCCATTTGTAGGACTTCATTCTGGTGAATGGGAGAGGACAACTCATTTATTTCCTTCAGGCTGTACCAGTCTGGCTTAGCGTGACTGCCTTCTCCCAGCAGAGAAGGTTGCGGTGGTTATGACTGTGCTTTTCCTTTCCCACCGCACCTCCCCTCAAGAGCTCCAGCATCAGCTGCATGTGGCCACAACTTCCATGCTCCTTCCAGATGCAGGAGATGTTGAAAAATGCATCTTATTGCTCCATCTGGCTTGCAAGATCTGGGTGGCTGCTGGGGAATGGCATGCTGTTTTTTTCTATAGCTGTGAGGAGAGGGACCAGTGGTTCCTGCCCTAGGCTCCTAGGGCAGGAGCAGCAGCAGGAGCCTGCCAGGGAGCAGTGGAAACAGTCACTGGATGGGGCCAAAGGACAGATTTATATGCAGGAAAGGAGCATGAGGCGCCTGTGATGGGGTTGAGGCTGCTGAGCATTTTCACATGCCACCTCCACACACACAGGGACGCGCTGGCTTCCTGCAGACACATGGAGCCATCCTTGCAAATGAGCGGCCCCTCGGAGCCTGCATGCTGGATACAGCCCGCTCATTTGGATGATGGCCTGTGCTGCAGCTCAGTTCCACCTTCCAGCCCCCTCTTCAAGCCACCTCAGTTCAGGCCAGCAAGGGGAAAACACTTTACCATCTGTTGGTCTTCAGACTCTGACTCATTATTTTTATTTCAGCTGTCGCCAAGCAATAGCGAAAGTCCCAACACACCAGCATTTCCACTGCTGCAAGCTGCCTTGTCCTCAGCCACCAGAGAATAAACAGCTCAGCCTCTGTTCTCCACTGCATGCGATACTAAATATCACAGATTCTATCACAGAACAAGCTGAGTTGGAAGGGATCCACAAGGATCATCAAATCCAACTCTTAAGTAAATGGCCTGTATGGTGATCAAACCCACAGCTTTGGGTTTTATTAGCACCATGCTCTAACCAGCTGAGCTAATTTCATGAATTAAAAACAAGGAAGGAGAAAAAGTGTGCATTCAGGTTCCCTAGTCATCAATACACACATCATCCAGGCAAAAAGTGAGAACTTGTAGCTTCTGAAAACGGAGACATGGGGCTTGTCCCTGAAGGAACCCACAGGTGACAGAGACACTGGAGGTGGTGTTGCCCTCTCCTGCCCCTTTAAGCCCATGCTCTAACTATGAACCAAGGTTCAAAAGAAGACAGTGCCATTGCCTGCACCAGTCTGTTGTACCCTGTCTGTCTCCACTCTTACAGAAATGGGACATGCCACCACTTTCTCCACATCCTTTTTCCTGCCTGCTCCTTATTAAGCTCCAAGACTCTACTGCTGTCTCCCCAACAGCCTAGACCGTGTTACAAAGCACTGGCAGCCTTTACGCAGGTTTAGTCTTCCTTTCGTTTGCCCATTTACTGCTCTCCTCCTTTCCATTCCTGCTCACCTACTACAGGATTCATGTTTCCCTTTCCTCCCTCCATCTGGATACTCATTTGAATGCCTGTGACCGGACTACCATATGCAGATACATAAGAAAAAATAGGATCACCAAATGGGGAAGCACCTCTAGATCTGTTCTAAAACTACAGCTAGACAGAAGACATTTTGCAATAATGTCATCACTGCTGCCAAGTGTATTCTGGACACAGACCTTGTGTCATAAATTACTGTAATTAGCAACACTCCAGCAGGCAAAAGTATGTATTTAGAACCTGAGGATGCATATGAAGTGGCTGCAGTTTATATTTCGGATGAGTCACGGCGAGGCCCAGCTTGGAGGGAGCCAGTGAATCCTCTGCAGCCACAATATTGTCTGACAAAACCACTCAGCATAGCAAACCCTTTTTCCTAAACATTGGGAAAACAAGCTGAATACTGAAGCCTCTTGGGAAATGTATTTGCACTGAAAAGTTGAACTTTTTGCTGAAATAAGGGGAAAAACAAAAATCGAGCCTCTTTGGCCAGTGCCAATGAAACATTTTCAGACGGAGCTCCACTTCTTGACACATGCTCAAAAAATGTTCATCTGGGATAGAAAATGGAAACTTTTTTTTTTTTAATTTGGATGGATAGTGGTTTTATTCCTCAAGGGACTTGGGGTTTGGGTTTGCTAATTTTAAAATAAACACGTAAGAGGGAAAAAACCCAAACCAAAACAAACAAAAAAACTTCGGATGTGTTCGCGGTGGCCGATCCCTGCTTTTCGATGAGAACAAAACCCGTGTCCTGCTCCTCACGGTGCCGGACAGCTCCGGGGCGGCACCGCGGCTCTCCGGGGTGCGCGGCCCGACACCGAGCCCCGAGCGCCGAACCCCGCACCCGGCCTGGCAATAGGCACGGCCCCGCGCAGGCCGCGAAATGTCGGCGCCGCGGTGCGCCCTGGGAGCTGTAGTCCCGCCGCTCAGCCCCGCTCCCCAGCTCGCAAAATGTCCCCCGCCGAGGGAAGGCGGCCGCCTACAATTCCCAGGAGCCCCCAGAGAGGTGGAGCGGGGAGGGGGCGGGAGGAGCCGGCCCTTTCCGTGCCGCTCTCCCCGCCGGGAGTTGTGGTCCTGCCGCAGCCGTGGCCGCTCCCTGGAGCCCGGCAGGGACTCGGTGTCCCGGCGCGCCGCGGGCGGCGGGGCAGAGGGGGGAGGAGCGGGCCAAAGGGGGGCGGG